GAATCTTACAATGGAGGGATCAGAGATAAATGCTTATACTGCTAGATTCAATGACCTTGCAGTGATGTGTCCAACACTTGTAACCCCGGAATACAAGAAGATTTAGTGATATATCTGGGGTCTAGCATCACAAATCAAAGGAATGGTGATCGCATCAAAGCCTACAACATATGACAGTACAAAGCGCATAGCTCATCAGCTAACCAGAACAGAAATCTAAGTGGGATTTATGGTCACAAAAGCTGAGTCTCCCGAATCTGGAATGTACAAGCGCACATTTAATAGGAAGAATCCCAGACAATCATCTAAGAAGAGATAAGAAGTGGCAAATGTTTATGCTGCTACAACAACAACAACACTCACACCACCAAAACAATATGAAGGAAATCATCCATGGTGTAATCAGTGTAACCGTCATCACTTAGGTGACTATGTTGTTTGCACAAAGTGTAAAAAATAGGGACATACCGTCAGCTACTGCAGTAACACAATACCTGCAACAATAAACAATACCGGAACAAGCTATGGTGGAGGAAGAACGTGTTATGAGTGTGGCAAGATTGGACACTTCAGGAGGGAATGTCCAAAGTTAAGGAGTCATGGAGGTGATGCTCGGGGCAGGGCATTCGTAATCGAAAGTAGGAAACCTATCCAGGACCCTTCGGTGGTATTTGGTACAAAATAAATTTCGGGACGAAATTACTTCAACAGGGGGAGAATGTAACACTAGACAAAATAGGCCAACAATAATCACATGTGATTATATCAATCAAGTAATGTGATAAACTTACTATTTAGTTCATGATAAATTCTAATACAAATATGAACTTTCATACATACTTTATGATACAACTCAAATTCTACATCCATACGATTCCAAAAATATGTAGAACGTCTAAATCTGACTTCGCATGAAGAAGTTATGATAAACTCTAACACTATAAATCTTCATAATAAGAGGAATTTAAATTATACTTAGAATTAGCTATTTGAGTCTAAAAGAAAGTTGTAGTACTTGGAAATACCTACGTGTGGATATAAAGAACGTCAAAAACGGAGTTCGTATGCAAAAGTTATAACCTTCTAAAGATGTAGCAGTCTAAGAGCATGACACGTGGCAGAAACCCTAATCAGCCATGCTCCACGACGTGGACATAACATCCACGACTTGAAATTAGTCAAGGATACTAATTGAGACTAGAAGAAAACGTGCTAAGTCTACGGGAGTGATGTGTTAAGATCCCACGACGTGACGTGGACATAAGGCCACGACGTGGAAATGTCATCCAGACACCTTTCGAAGCTAGAACGCAGATGGAAAGCCTACGAAGTGATTCAGCCATCCGCCACGACGTGGACATGCTTTTGGCAGCCTATAAATAGCAAGTTCGACCCTAAGCTTCCTTACACGTAAATCTCTTCCCTTTCTCCCGTTTGTTGAAGGCATTCTACGTCCCGAGCCCGACGATCACGAACCGCTGACCGTTTAGATTACATAAAATCACGCTACTAGGGTGTATTTCACGGCCCCACTTTTAATGTTTTCGGGGGACAACGCATGCTAAATATTGTATATAGGTTAATATTATGTCTATATGATAGTATATTCGTATCAACATAGATAGTTATATTAACCGGGATATAGGTTTTTTGTATCTGATATTTTGAAAACATTTAACTATCGTAAACTTGATTAGCATGTTATCATCATATAATTATACTAATGTAGACCTTGAGTTATACTTGGGAAGTCTATATATATTATGTGCGATATGGTTCCGGAGTTACACTCGGAAGTTCTATATGCTAATTGATAAGTATGTTGTTATTATTGGTTTTGTGTGAAGATAAAACTTGTTATGTTATTAATATAGCCCTAAAGGTATATTCAGGAGTTCTATATATACTTGTTAAGTATGTTTCTATTATTGGTTTTATGTTAAGATAAAACCTGATTTTACCTCATGTTATAGTTGTTATACTGCCTAAGAATTATAAATATTAGGAGTAATGCTTAAAGCATAGTCTAATAACTTAGGGTTTTAGACACGAAAATGCTTTCACTATTAGAACTAATGGAACCCCGACAAAGTCTACATGAGCTATTTATTCATCAACTAAGATTGGAAATTTTAGTGGAAATCCTCTGACGTGTAACCGCTAATCCCGTGTGAGCGAGGAAGTTATGTATTGATCTATGTGGGTTAACGCCCCATCCGTGGTTGTTGGCTACATCCCAAACGGTTTTACGGTAGACTATAGATCTATGCGGATTGACAACCCCACCCGTGGTTGCTAGCTACAACCCAATGGTCTGCGGGTGACGAACTGTACCAATGATTGTTCTGTTTTGGACCCGACGTCGATGAAGCGCATGGGGGAAGTATTTACCTTGGTAGGATCCTTCGTGGCACCAATGGAGGTTTTATTATGGCACCAATGGAGGAACCATTGGTGGAATCTTTTAATTAGAGGTCTGTATGTCATAGCAGCGGTTACGGACTCATGGTAGCAAAGTTTTAGAAGCATTATTTTTTGTCGATATACAAGTATGAATGTTAAGCATAAGTTTCCCAAACACTTATACTGTAGGAACAAGGAAATTGTAGGTATATTACTTATTCATTATGTAAACAATTATACCTAGCTCACATACTCGTATAGAATTGAAATAAGATTCATACGTAGCGGTTTTACTCGTATAGAATCGAAATAAGATTTTTACGTAGCGGTTATACTCGTATAGAATTGAAATAGGATTCATACGTAGCGGTTTTACTCGTATAGAATTGAAATAAGATTTACTTGTATAGAATTGAAATAAGATTTATACGTAGTAGCCTTTGTTTGTTTGGGATCATAAACACTTATATACATAGTATATGAAACTCATAGGTATACTACTAAGTAAACCATTATACCTAGAATATATATACTACATTTTAGAGATAAGTATGAGTTTGAAAGATATTTTAAAAACTAAGTTTTCATATTTTTTAAACTTGGAAAAATACTATTTTCTCGGAGTCAAAACTTGTGGACTCACCAACTTTATGTTGACGTATTTTTAAAATGCATGTGTTCACAGGAACTTGATAAGCTGGATTAATTTAACTTTCTATTACCAATAGAGGTATGTAGTTTATAAAACTCTTTTGTATTGTTCAATATATGTTATATAACTGTGATAGGAGGAATGACGTTACACCGCCCGGTTTTTCCGCCGACGGCCGGGGTGTGACAATTTTCGAGTTATACGGTTTTCCAATTATCTTTTATGTAACTTGAAACCCCTTTTCATATTTCAGTTAGCCTATCTATTAATCTTATTAATAATATAATTTTATATCTAATCTAAGTTAATAATATTCATTTTTAACGAACTTTTTTTTATATTTTTTTACAAAAAAGTATAAACAAACAAAACGTAAAAAAAAATTAAAATATATTCAAACAACACACCAAAAAACTAAAAATATTTATTCAAAAAATCATCATAAAAATATAAATGAAAAAATGAAAAAAACATTAAACAATATATTCAAACAACACACCAAAAAATATTTTTTACATTTTTTCGTTTATATTTTTATGATGTTTTTTTATGAATATTTTTTTTAGTTTTTCGGCGTGTTGTTTGAATATATTTTAATTTTTTTTTGACGCTATGTTTGTTTATACTTTTTGAAAAAAATGTAAAAAAAAGTTCGTTGAATGTGAATATTATTAACTTAGATTAGGTATAAAATTATATTTTTAATAAGATTAATAAATAGACTAACTGAAATATGAAAAGATGTTTCAAGTTATATAAAAGATAATTGGAAAACGTATAACTCGAAAACGGACAAAATTTCTAAAAATAAAAAAATGAACTCGAAAACATTGACACATGTATTTGAGTTATATGAATTCTGATTAGTATTTTCCATTCGGAACGAAATGTAAAAAAAAATATTCTAAAACTAAAAAAATTGAACTCGAATCCATTGACACTCGTTTTGAATTTTGTTTAACCTATATAATAATTTTATTAAAGTAAATACTTATATAATTAATATGTGTTAATCATATTCTCATTTAACTAACCTTTGTATATTTTTTATACAAAAAATATTCATAAAAAGCTTTACAAATATATAAAAAAACAACACATCAAACAAACATTAAAAGATATATTCGAACAAAAGGTTAAAAAAAACTATAAAAGTTATTCAAATGGAACGTCAAAATATATATATATATATATATATATATATATATATATATATATATATATAAACGAAGAAAATATAAAAAAACATTAAAAATATATTCGAATAAAATTTTAAAAAATTAAATAAATCATAAAAAATATAAATAAATAAAATAAAATATTAGCGTCAAAATATAAAATAAATAAAATAATTATATATATTAAAGAAAAAAAATATATAAAAATAAGGATAAAATGATATTTTTAAATGGATTAATAGTTTAAATTTTTTAAACCATAAAGATGCATTAAAATTGGATTGAATATACCAATTTGACCATAGAAAGCAAAAGTGTAATTTACTCTATGTAATATTTCCTTGTGAGATGCGCTTTTGAATTCAAAATAAAGTTGCAATCTATCATATCATTTCAAGATATTATACTCTTTCATTTAAGTTGACCTATATAGTAATAAAACTTTCATCATTTACATAACATTGTTATACAAGTGTATTTATTTATTTATATGTTGACGATTATTGCAAGCGATATACGATCTTGGAATTTGTTCATGTATCTATAAGTTACGTCATATTAACATATACTTTAGGTAGTTAAATGTTTTAACTTTTAACCATTAAATTAGGCACGAATTTTGTTAGCATTTCTTTAATATATAATATTTGATTATTTTGTTCTCATTTTAATGTATCTCTTAAATGTTAAAGGGTATAAATGTATTTTGGGTAAAAGATTTCCCTATATAGAGAGAACATGAATGCATGGAAGCATTTGTCGTGAAAATGAAATCAAGGAAAGGGAAGTGGCCAACAAGGGCCTCTCTTATCATGTCTCTTGTTGTAGTCATTGTTTCTCTAAGCTTCTCATTATCAACCACTTCACAACCTCTCATATATCCCATCCATGACAATTCACCACCATCACGGTCGCCAAAGTCTTCACCACCATCATCCATTCACGAGAATGATGTTCCATTTCTACCTTTTTCACCTCCATTAATACTACCTATTTTTCCTATGGTCCCACCCTTAGTACTACCTATTTTGCCAACTGCACCTCCTAAGACACAGAAACCCAAACCTCCCCCTAAGAAACCTCCTGCCAAACCTCCTCCTAAGAAAAAAGAACCAAAACCTCCTCCTAAGAAAAAGGAACCAAAACCTCCTTCCAAACCTCCTCCTAAGAAAAAGGAACCAAAACCTCCTCCTAAGAAAAAGGAACCAAAACCTCCTTCCAAACCTCCTCCTAAGAAAAAGCAACCAAAACCTCCTCCCAAACCTCCTCCTAAGAAAAAGGAACCAAAACCTCCTCCTAAACCTCCTCTTAAGAAAAAAGAACCAAAACCTCCTCCCAAAAAAAAGGAACCAAAACCTCCTCCTAAGAAAAAGGAACCAAAACCTCCACCTAAACCTCCTCCTAAGAAAAAGGAACCAAAACCTCCTCCCAAACCGCCTCCTAAGAAAAAAGAACCAAAACCTCCTCCTAAGAAAAAAGAACCCAAACCTCCTCCTAAGAAAGAAGAATCCAAACTTCCTCCCAAACCTCCACCAAAGAAAAAGGAACCTAAGCTTCCTCCTAAGAAAAAGGAACCCAAACCTCCACCTAAGAAAAAGGAACCCAAACCTCCTCCTAAGAAAGATAAGGAACCTAAACCTCCTCCTAAGAAAGATAAGGAACCTAAACCTCCTCCTAAGAAAGATAAGGAACCTAAACCTCCTAAGAATGAGAAAGAACCTAAGCCTCCTAAGGAAAAGGTTCCTAAGCCTCCTAAAAAGGAGAAGGAACCCAAACCTCCTAAGTCACCTTCACCTCCTAAGTCAGCCCTCCCCATTCCAATACCCGACCCAATACCTAAACCACCAGCTCTTCCAATCCCTGATCCAATACCCGATCTACCTAAACCACCAGCTCTTCCAATCCCTGATCCAATACCTGATCTACCTAAACCACCAGCTCTTCCAATACCCGATCTACCTAAACCACCGATTCTTCCAATACCTGATCCACCTAAACCACCAGATCTTCCAACACCAGATCCACCTAAACCACCAGATCTTCCAATACCCGATCTACCTAAACTTCCAATACCCGATCTACCAAAACCACCAGCTCTTCCAATACCTGATCCACCTAAACCACCAGATCTTCCAACACCTGATCCACCTAAACCACCAGAACTTCCAATACCCGATCTACCTAAACTTCCAATACCGGATCCACCTAAACCGCCAGATCTTCCAACACCTGATCCACCTAAACCGCCAGATCTTCCAACACCTGATCCACCTAAACCACCAGATCTTCCAACACCCGATCCACCTAAACCACCAGATCTTCCAATACCTGATCTACCTAAACTTCCAATACCTGATCTACCTAAACCACCAGCTCTTCCAATACCTGATCCACCTAAACCACCAGATCTTCCAACACCTGATCCACCTAAACCGCCAGATCTTCCAACACCCGATCCACCTAAACCACCAGATCTTCCAATACCCGATCTACCGAAACTTCCAATACCTGATCTACCTAAACCACCAGCTCTTCCAATACATGATCCACCTAAACCGCCAGATCTTCCAACACCCGATCCACCTAAACCGCCAGATCTTCCAACACCCGATCCACCTAAACCGCCAGATCTTCCAATACCCGATCTACCTAAACTTCCAATACCCGATCTACCTAAACCACCAGCTCTTCCAATACCTGATCTACCTAAACCACCAGATCTTCCAACACCAGATCCACCTAAACCGCCAGATCTTCCAACACCCGATCCACCTAAACCACCAGATCTTCCAATACCTGATCTACCTAAACTTCCAATACCCGATCTACCTAAACCACCAGCTCTTCCAATACCTGATCTACCTAAACCACCAGATCTTCCAACACCTGATCCACCTAAACCGCCAGATCTTCCAATACCTGATTTACCTAAACTTCCAATACCTGATCTACCTAAACCACCTGATCTTCCAACACCCGATGCACCCAAACCACCGAATGCTCCAACACCCGATGCACCCAAACCACCAGATGCTCCAACACCCGATGCACCCAAACCACCGGATGCACCCAGCCCACCGGATGCTCCAGCACCGGATCGACCCAGCCCACCGGATGCTCCACCACCGGATGCACCCAGCCCACCAGATGCTCCACCACCCGATGGACCCAGCCCACCAGATGCTTCACCACCCGATGCACCCACCCCACCGGATACAGCACCACCCGATGCACCCACCCCACCGGATGCTCCACCACCGGATGCACCTAGCACACCGGATGCTCCACCACCCGATGCACCCAACCCACCGGATGCTCCACCACCCGATACACCCAACCCACCGAATGCTCCAGCACCTGATGCACCTAGCCCACCAGATGCTCCAACACCCGATTCACCTAAACCACCAGATATTCCAAGACCTGATCTACCTAAACTTCCAATACCTGATCTACCTAAACTTCCAATACCTGATCCAACACCCGATCCACCTAAACCACCAGATCTTCCGGCACCTGATCCACCTAAACCACCTGATCTCCCAATACCTGATCTACCTAAACTTCCAATACCTGATCTACCTAAACCACCACTTCCAATACCTGATCCAACACCCGATCCACCTAAACCACCAGATCTTCCGGCACCTGATCCACCTAAACCACCTGATCTCCCAATACCTGATCTACCTAAACTTCCAATACCTGATCTACCTAAACCACCAAATCTTCCAATACCTGATCTACCCAAACCACCAGATCTTCCTATACCGGATCTACCTAATCCAATACCTAAACCACCACCATCCATTCATGGGAAGCAACCAAAACCACCACCAAAGACTTCTTCTATACCACCACCACCTTCCTTTATTCATGACGGTGTTATTCCATTACTACCTCCCATACCTCCATTAATACCACCTATTTTGCCACCTTTGCCTCCATTACTATCACCCGTGCTTCCGTTACTACCACCTTTGCCTCCATTACTACCACCCCTTAAATCACCTTCACCTCCATCACTACCGCCTCTTGCGTTACCTGAATTAGTAGTTGACCCATGATCACCATCCATTCATGGAAAGTCACAACCATCGCCTCCAAAGTATCCTCTACCACACCATATCTCCATGTATAATACCCATTACTACCTCCTAAGTCAACACCGCCACCATTATGTGGTGGCAAGTATACACTAGGTGGTGAGAGTCTTTGTAATTAAGTCATGATTATTGTGTTCACCTATGGACTAAGAGGTTCTACGTGTATAAAGACCCAACTCCTATTTTCTATTAATATAATCAAACTCAGTTCCCATATAAGCATAAACACATGGATATATAAATACACATATTATGAAATTATCTTTTTTTTTTAATTTTAAATCTGAAGCACATGACTCATAAGATTATAGGTAACTAAGATAATACTTGTAACCGAGCATGTGTTTTATTTTTTTCACTTGATATTTATATTTATTTTAAATTTCATTATGGTTACCTTTTCATGTAACTAGGATTTTCCCTGTCGCGCATTGCGACGACATCGACCCATTTTTAAGTTGAATTTTAATGGTTCTATTGATAAAAGTTAGACATCGTTGCATTTGTTGGTAGATACATATACACTGTCGGTACCACTGACTAATTCTGATATATATTGTTGAGGAAATTGTATTATATGTGACAAAATTCATACATAGGAGATTTACATAAAACTAAGCACGACAAGATAGAAAACTTGAATTTTTAACGATACTGTTGTGATATGACGGAGAATTATTGGGTCGAGATTGCCGGTGAACCTCGCGAAAGCGACTTCCCCTGATATCACAGTACAAAACAGGAAAGAGATCTTTAGTCGACATCCGGGAGGGGTTCCCGGGACGAAGCTTCGATGATCTAGTTAGTATGATATCCGAGAGAGATGGTAATTGATTACGGAAAAGAGAGAATTTCGTCCTCTTCTTCGTTAGGAAGAAGGATCCTTTTATACCTGTTTGAGAGGCGTGTCTCTCAACTGATTCTGTTGAGGATTCCCTCGTGAGGTGCGACGTGGCAGACCCATATTGGAGGGTCCTCCGTCACATCTTTTGCCTCATTCTCTCATTGGCTGGAAGGGGATCTTCCAAATGTTTACGAAGATCGTGGATATCGTCTAATGGGCGAGTGGGACTCTCTGATTGGTCCCACGTTTGCCAGGGTATGATTCCTGGAGAAGGGGTTTAGGTGTAACTCTGCACCTTAACCGCCTTATCAGTGCCCTTCGCGTTGGCGAAGGCCCAAACTTGGCTTTAGACTAGGTTCTGACAAGGCCAAGCCCGGTGTCAGTTTGACTTCTCTTTTGATGTTGCCCTGAGGGATACGTTAACAAGTCCCTTAGGCTTGTAGGCATATGCGTCGGCATGACAACATTTCCGTTCGATCCTATATCTCGACACGTGTATACCTGGGATTAGTTCTATCGTTTGACGGGCCTTAGGCAATGCCGTCAATGTGTGTCAGATCCATCATGAGATGGTTCGTGACACAAGTTTTTTCTTTAAAATCCCCCTTTTTCCAAGACCTTTCATCCTTACCTCGTTTCTTCACCCTCGTTGTATCGATCTACGATCGTCCTCCAAGGAAAGTTGGAGTCCCCATTCCTTTGTTCGAAGCGGGGTGGCGCCTTCTGACATCAGATTTTTTTCGATATGATCGTGCAACATTACGGTTTTACTGTCGACAAGTTAACCCCAAGCATTGTCAATAAGATCGTCGGTTTTGAACTGATATGTCTCTATTTGGATCGTGTTCCCACCTTCTGGGTTTTCAGTTAATTTTTCTGTTCAACTACAAACTCCGACGTCCGTCCCTAGCTAAGCGACGGGGCATTCATTAACTGATCTCCGAATTGGATACTTCGAAGAAGAACTGGCAAATGCAATGCCTTTAGGTCGAACGAAACCTCGTGGGGCATGGGTATCATATAAAACGAGACTTTCCCGACCATCTCCCCAAGCTGTTTAGGGACAATCTGACCCTCAGAAGACGGTTGGGGAGCGTTACTGTTAGTGGATAAAACTGGGAAGACTTTATTCTTGCCGCGGCCAGTATGAATGTCGCGTGGAGGGCTCGCGGGAAGACGGCACGAATGTTCGTCGTGAGATGCAGTATTAACTCATCTCCTTCCCACCCCCCTTTATTTTTTGAAAACAGAGTGAGGATAAGATATCTTGTTGGTTTATGAGATCTTTTATGGGTTTTGAGCATTACAATATTCCTATGGTGCACATGCAACCCTAATTGCTTTGGATCTAGGTTTTCTCAAGTTATACATGCAAATCAATTATCCAAAGCAAGAACCCTAATCTAGCATATCATTTTCGGATTTAGTAAACAAACTAAGGTTAAATGAATACCTTTCTTGTTAGCTAGTAGCAACAAATAATCCTTTCCTTGATCTTGAGCTTCAAGAGCTTAGTGCCTCAATTGTTGCACCTCTAATGGAGTCACAAACACCACAAGCAATGGATTAAAAAGAGAGAGAAAGGATGGAGGCTTCAAAAAATCGGCCAGGGTTTCTTCTAAGGAACATGTGCCGATTTTAGGAGCCTTGGGGTTCCTTATATAGCTGAGCTGCTACTAGGGTTTTAACTGGAAACCCTAATTCCCTTGCTTAGGCCCTAAGCAATCCACAAACCCCCACATTAAAGGCCTTAGATGAAATCTTTATGGAGTCCCATAGAGTTTTCGTCCACCCCTTATCAATAGGGTCCATTAGCCTAAACTATAACTATTACTGATTTACATAATCCGCCCCCGTACATTTAATCAGTCTCTTTTGATCACCAAATTAATTCCAAATTAATTTATGATCAATGCTAATTAAATAATATGATTTCTCAATTAATATATTATTCTTATAATATATTAATAAATCATTTATCAACCTCTTTCTGATAATTCATCCTGTCAAGTTGCTATGGTGAAGGCAACCCAAAAGGACCATGCTACTATCGGGTCAAGTACATACCAATTATAGTTATGGGCTTAGACACCTAATCCAACAGTCTCCCACTTGGATAAGTCTAATAACTATAACTGCAAGTATGACTTCAAGATCCGATTAGAAAGCTTAGCTCTCAAAAACCGATGTCGAACTCTGACCTAGTCAGTTACGCGTCCTTTAGATAAGGGATCATATAATCCCCCGTTCTGCAAGATATCGTGTGGACAAAGACATGGAACATAATCATTCTCTATGTACATCAGTTTGTTACCGACTTCCGATTTTTTTGACATAGAACTTAATTGAATACATCAATTCAGTGCTAACCGGGCCCAGCACATAAGTCAACACAAAATCATCGAGGGGCCCAAGATATCGCTTTTACCCTCTTAGGATAAAAGGAACAATTAAACTTTGATTTATATGCTTGTACTATTTACCCGTTTAAATCATACACAACAACACGTTTTATAACATCAAGTTACTAATGCGTTTACGCATTATCAATGCACAACCAACTTGCAAACAACAACTCATATATCTCGGTTTAAAGATTATATGATATTATCGTCTCACAGTCACTCGTGATAAATTCCATGAAGTGATTCACATGAGCGTGGGTTTAATCCAATACTCAAATCTTATTTCAGAAGTACTCATGAATGTTGCAGCAAACCTTTGCTATATCTAAGCACTTAGACAATCTACAACAAATTCATGAGAGTCTAACCTCATAACTTACTCCCAAAGTATGATCGACTGTGGATAATTTAGAAAATCTAATTATTCTAGAAGTAAAACATGCAAAAGTGAAACAGCAGTAAACAATCGACACAAGATAGTAAACTTTACTCATAAATAAATCTCCATTACTTAATCATCAAATTTCGATTACATTTATCTATTACAAGTTTCTAAACATCTATCTAATCACTAAAACTAATATCGTCCTTCAGACCGATGCTCCTCGCATGCTGTAAGTGCTTAACCCTGCTCAGACCCTTTGTGAGAGGATCTGCAGGGTTCTCCTCTGACGATACCCTCTTAACTACGAGGAGTCCCTTTTCTACCCGATGTCTGATGAAGTGGTATTTTATGTCGAGGTGTCTGGATCTACCATGATCCATTGGTTCCTTGGTTAAGGTAACTGCTACTTCGTTATCACAGAAAATATCCATAAGCTCCTTTATGGATGGTACAACTCCAAGGTCTCCAATGAAGTTCTTCAACCAGATCGCCTCCTTCGACGCTTCGCTTGCTGCTATGAACTCTAATTTGCACGTTGGATCAACCACAGTCTCCTTCTTGGAACTTTTCCAAGTAATTTCTCCTCCATTTAGGGTACCCAGCGCGACTGAGAGCAGAAGTTATCTCTGTCGGTCTGAAAGCTGGCGTCACTATACCCTATCACTCTCAAGTCATCTCTACCACCAAGTGTAAGGACCCAATCCTTAGCCCTTCGGAGTACTTAAAAATGTTCTTAACTAGTGTCCAATGAGCTCTACCCGGGTTCCCTTGATATCGACTAACCATGCGCAATGCAAAAGCCACATCAGGGCGAGTACATGTCATAGTGTACATGATCGAGCCAACGGCGGAAGCATATGGCACTCGACTCATTTCCGCTATCTCGGCATCGGTACTCGGACTCTGAGTCTTACTTAGCTTGGTATTACTTTGGATTGGCAGTTCCCCTTTCTTGGAATTCTCCATGCTAAAACATTTCAGCACCTTGTCCAAGTAAGTTCTTTGACTAAGTCCTATTAGTCTCCTACTTCTATCTCTCAATATCATTATCCCCAGAATATAAGTAGCTTCTCCTAGATCCTTCATGGTGAAACACTTCCCACGCTAGGTCTTAACCTCCTTCAAAGTTTGGGATGTCGTTTCCTATGAGCAGTATGTTATCAACATACAAAACTCGAAAGCTAACTATACTCCCACTAGCCTTGACATACACACAAGACTCATCATCGCTTCTCGAAAATCCAAACTCTTTGAATTTCTCATCAAAACAAAGATTCCATCTGCGAGACCCTTGCTTTAATCCATAAATGGATTTCTCAAGCTTTCA